TTTGTGTGTGTGTGTGTTTGTGTGTGTGTGTTTGTGTGTGTGTGTGTGTGTGTGTGTGTGTGTGTGTGTGTGTGTGTGTGTGTGTGTGTTTTTGCTCACACACCTTTTCAACTGCAAAGGTCTTGTGCCAGCCTCAGCAATTTGCCGGTTCCATTGGAATCTTTGGCTGAACCTTTGTACAGTGGCCTCTCAGTTATCTTCTCGATTTGTGCCGGTCATGGCTCATTCATTGGAGAGAAGAAGGAGAAATTCATTCAAAGGAGAAATGTTGTCAAGCCTTGGTATCACGTCGTGGTGCTGGATGGCGCAATCGATGCTTCAGCAGTGGATGTTCGAAGCAGCATTAAGAGGTTCTCCTCCAGTGCCTCCTCTGCGTCAGGTTCAATCGCAGTGGTCTCTGAATCGCAGTGATATCCCGGCAGTCGCAAGCTGTCTGCACGCATGAGCCACAACACATTCAAATTCTGTTTGAGATTATACGGAACTTCCCAAACAGGTTGTGGCTTGCAATGATCTTGAGTGATCAGCCATTGGACTGCGCAGGAGGAGGAAATCACAGCAGGTCGTACCTTGAGGATCGCCTGATAATGACCAGCGGCATCAATGCCCAAATGGGCCGCTGCCGCAATCAAAACATATTCTGCTGTTGCCTGTTGCAATGCATCCTCAATAAAGTGCGGGATTGCAATTCCAGTATCAACATCAATGGCGCAACTGCTTTTCTCAATCTGCCCGGAGGTTGAGACCAGCCTGTCCACGTGAATGCATATAATCTTGGCAGCCTTCAGCAGTGCAGCTCTCATCCCATCAACCTGACACCAGTGCTGCAGCAAATCTTCAAGGGTGCAATTGGTCTGAAATGCAAGGTTTGCAGGGATTTGCAAGAACAATGGCATGCATGTTTGACTTTGATCAGATACAATGGTGCCCGCATCTGTTTCGCATCGTCGATGCCAGCTCATGTCAATTGCTGGTGATGAAACCCACTGCAGCAAAATGTGAACAAACTCGCTGCAGTCCTGCTGGGCAGGTGTGCGCCCCAAATCTTTGAGCAGGTGTGCAAACCAAGGAAGGTCAATCAATTGAACTTCATGATTCAAACTGTTTTGCAAAAGTTGCACCAAGTGCTCAAAGCGTGGTCCCCAGGAAGAGGCATCAGTAGGCTTCAGGCTAAGCAAAGCCCACAAAAGGCAATACAGCGTCACATTGGCAAAGCACCAATTGCTATCATTTGCAAACGTCAGTGCGACAGCCAAATGGCACAGAGAGCAAATCTCAGTCTCAGTCAAGCAGCGCCCCTGGTCTTGTTGTGATTCTTGCCTTTCCCATGGCCCTTTGTCTTGGGCATCATGTTCCTCACTTGGGTGGCCAAATTGCTCGGTTTGGGTGAATGAGGGCGCAGTGTTGCTCCCATCAGCAGCCAGATGGATGAGTGACAAAGTTCCAGCAGCAGCTCGTAGGGTCTGTCGCTCCTCATGTTGAGTTGAAGCTTCCAGGGCATCACTGTTTGGGCCTGGCTCGTCTGCAGGCTCTGGAACTTGAGCACCAGGCCAGGATCCCGGAAGTCCTGGATCAGCTCCTCCAGGTGCTGCAGCATTTTCGGCATTGTGACAGACTTCTTCTTGTCCACTACCAGAGCCTTTTGTTCCGCATTCCAACGTAGGTACGGCCAGCTCAGATCCTCCAACAGCAACCTCTTGTCCAGACAAGCCTGGAGGACTTGATCCCCTTGCTTGCACTTCGAAACCTTGGTGGCACGGTTCAGCAAGTCTGTCAGCATCCATTGACTCAGGTGCTGTCTCAGCGGGGTTTGGGGCTGCTGGGGTCCCTGTTGGCGTTGTTGGGTCCATTTCTTGGTCTCGGCAATGAGCCCCTGCAGTGTTCCCCCCTCCTCCGGCTGGAAGAAGAGGATAAAAGAGTCTGTGCTTTGCAAGACGCTCAAGCTGTGTTCTTGACGCAGAGCCATCAGCCCCAGAAGCTGAAGGTATCTCATCAGGTTGAACTGGGGGTCGTGCTCGGGCTGATCTGGATCTGCCTGTTGCCCCTTTTGTTGATCTGTGCGGCGCTGCTTCGGTGCTCTGGGATTTGGTGTCAGTGCCAAGCCCTTGTCCAAGATCAGCTGAAGAAACTGGAATGTCTCTCTGATCTGGCCCAAGGCGCCCTCGTCCCAACCACTCATGGCCAAGTCGCCCTCCATTGAGGGCAGTACCAAGCAGAAGGGTGCACTGCAGCAGCACCGGGCAATTGCCACGTAGGTGGACTTGAACCAGTTCCAATCTCCCTGCTGCAGAGGCATCTGAAGGTGTCAGAGCTGGCAAGTTGAAAATTTGTCCACATAACGTGCAGCAGTGGTCAGGCTGAATCTCATGCATCAAGATTGGCAACAGTGCTTCATTGTAAAAATCAGCAAAGCGGTGACCAATGACATGGGCCTCATGGAGGTGTCTGCACAGCAACCCTGGATGATGTTCTTGGCCGCACATAATACACCAGGAGCGCAGAATCTGCTTCATGGCCTGGGTAGTCCACAAGTCTGAAAATGAGCGGTCAATGAAAACTCGAGCAATTCTCTGTTTGATGTCATCAGGAATTGAGTGATGCACCATCTGATGTAAGACAGCATCAGGAATCTGCACCGGCATGAAAAGTCCACTCTGCAGGCGGTGGAACATCATGCCAATCTGCCTCAACGGCAAGCAAATGTGATTCTGGCGCTGTTGATGGATTTGAGGGTTGCATACACATCCTCGTCTTGCAAAAACCAGATCCACCAAAATCAAAATGACCCCTTGAGATGCACGCCATAACCTCGAATGGCAGGTCATGAGATGGTTGGCAAGGTCACCAGCACGGGTGTAGGCCTGTGCACATTGTTGGCACCGGATGCTCAACTGGAGCCTACGCATTGGAGGCTGCAAATGTTCAAGCAAACATCCATGAAGGCAAATGTCCAACCAGTCCTGCGTGATCGGAGTTGTCTCGGCAGTAGCTTCAGGGTTGAAGCTGGGACAATGGCCTCTGGTTATGTGAGTGCGCAACCCCTCCATCGAGGTATGTATCGAGCCGCAGTGGGCACAGGCCGCCTCAGATTGCAAGCTGTCTCTGGCTACATTGAAGGAAATGCCTCCCAAATTATGCTGTTCCTGAAGATGTTGTGTCAGCTGAGCAGCATCTGTGAAGGGTGCCAAGCAAAAGTCGCAACGGTGCGTTGGTGCCACTTCCATGGGTTCAGGCTGCATCAGTCCTCCACCATTCAAGATCATGACTGCAATTTGAGTCCAGACTGGACACTGGTGCTTTTTGAAACATCCCCCACAATGTGGGCAAGGGCTTTCAGAGCTGTGAAGGTTGGTGAGCATCATTGCCTTGCTGGGTACATTGTTCCAATGTGCAGCATGTTCAGTGCGATAGTGGAGATTCATGTCCTGTGTACGTGACAGCTGCAATCCACAAAGGAAGCATTGCTTGGAGAGGTACTGGCAAGCCTCCCATTCATGTTCCAAATTGTGCAAAGTGTCGGTGGCAATCATATGCAAAACACTGTCGCCCCAGGATTTGCTACGCAAGAGGTCCAGGTCGGTTTCTGTCAAGAGGCGTGTGCCTGTCGAATGGGTCTGGCTACTTTGAGATGGAGTGCTTGACATCATTGGCAGCACAGCTGGCTTCTGTAGGCAGAAATCTGGACCAGGCAGTAGCACCTGGCAACCGCGTTCCAAGTGGGTGCGGAAACTACGCCAGGAACTGAATATTTTATGGCAGTGCTTGCATTCAGGTAATCCATCTGTGGCATGTGAAGGCAGGGAAAGATTATGGGTCCTATACATGGGGGCATTATGCATGGTCGTGCAGTGGCTTCGAAAAGCTGATGCATGGCTGGTGCAAAAATTACACAAGGCACAATGGTACAGGTAATCTTGGCTGGGAACCTCGGCAGAGAGGGCAGTCTCAGCACGCTGACGTGCAAGATGGGCCTGGGCTTCATGTATCATCATCTTGCAGGTTGCAAGATGTGTCCAATCCAGTGTGCATGCAATGTCATCAGGCTGCAGATGCTCAAAACGCTGGGAAACAGACCGCTGGAGGGTTTCAACAGCAGCAGTCAAAATGGCGGCAGGTGCAGGGAAATCAAACAAAGTAAAGACATAGTCATGGGTATGACCTGTATGATACGGATGATCGCCTGCAATGGCTCGAAGCATTTTGCAAATATGGATGATCATGTGTTGGGCCCCTCTTTGGGTAATGCCGACAGCAAAGACACCGTAATGCATTATTGGCAAAATGCAAGTTTTCCAAAGCTGTAGCCTATGCTGTCGAGAAAACTGCTTGTTGCAGAGCCAACGCCGCATTCTGGAGAAACCAATCTGTGCAAGTCGAACTCTATGCCAAGTGGTGGAGTCAGCAAAATGCTTGTAGCTCATGATGCATCCTAAATAAATGGTTGATTTTTTGATGGGAACCAAGGTCACAGTGTTGCCAACCGGGATTTTGATCCTCTCGCCATGCTGATCTCGTTGCGTGTGCAAAGCACGCATTTTGCGGCTCTGGGAGCCAGTCATCTGCAGAATGGCCACGGATTTCTGTGGATTCAGGCTCAGGTCAAATTCAGCCAGCAATTCGAAGAGCAAACCTATGCACTCCAATAAAAGTTGAAGGTCTTGACAACTCCTGAAAACACCTCCTACATGAAAATCGTCGGCATAAATTGTGAGGTTTTCCTGAATCCAGGTCATGGGGCCTGGGCACTGAGATCATGCACCAGCAAAAGTGTCAGGCAGTTCCACAAAAATGGGGCGCCTTTGCATCCCTGACGCAATCCTTTATTTACTTTCACAGCTGTAGTTTCCCCTCCATGTGTCACATAATACGAAGTATCAACATGCCAGCATTGAAGTATTTGGACAATATTGGGGGAGATATTCAGTTGTTGAAGTCTATGAAAAAGGCGCCATCTGTTGACACTGTCGAAAGCCCTTTCAAGGTCTAAAAACAACTGCAGTCCACCACAGCATAGAAAACGAGGTTGTAATGAGGCTCTGGAATGTGGGGTGGATTTTTGTGTTTCAAGAAGGGCTTGAACTTGTCTACAATGGGCAGCCACTTTGGCTAGCGGGTCTTGTGTCGATCTGCCACCACGGAACGCCCAGATGGGCCAGCATCTGAACTCAGCATCTGCCTGGGCAGCAGCAATCTGGATGAGCAGCCCAAGGACCGCCTTGCCCAGGGGGCATTGCATGGCTAACGGTCTCAAATTGCAAGGTTGAACTGGAGGTTTCGTCGGTTTGGGGATCAATTGCAACCAACCCGATCGCCACTGCTCAGGGATCCACGGCTGGCAAGTGCCCCACCATTGTGTCAAAATGGCATGAAGCAAAGGAGCAATAGTATTGGCCAATGAGTTCCAGACTATACCAGGGGCACATGGTGGGGCAACAGCCTTACATGAGGGAATCCTACTCAACGCAGCAGCTAACTCACCCACGTCAAAGGGGACTCCTGGAGGCTCATCACATGTGAAGGCTGGCATGGGTGTTCCCGCCCAAGTAGTCTGAACAAAGCTGATCAACAAACTACGCTCCTCTGAGATGGTCATCAAGGCACCATGATTATTCCTCAATTGCATACGGCGTCGTGGCACTTTGGGGGAGTGTCGGTTGATGATGTCAAACAGCTTTCTGGTGTCAAAATGCAAGGCTGCAGCATGGGCTTCCTGCACTGTCTCTGCAAATCTCTGGCGTCTCAACTGCATTGCATGCCTGCGATGTTTCTTATGAAGGGAAAGGAAACGCATGACATGAAACCAGCCATGAAACAAGCTGCGCAAATCACAGGTTTTTAAGGAATTAGCAAGTCTGCGGTGTTCCCATTTGGTCAAAACATGTTCATTGGCTTGCCATGGGTCAGGTTTCGAAACAGCACTTGCCGCAGGAAAGGCTTTCGTATATTCTTGCATGGCAACAACATGTGTCTGACTGAGTTCAGGAAGGTCTGAGGTCAGAACCTGGTCCAATTGAATGGTCAAAGGGCCAGCGCAGGCAGCCAAAAAATCATGCCAGTCAGGGCTATCTGCCAATTTGGCCAGGCGGCCACGCTCACGTTGATTAGGGGTCAGGTTTAGTTTGGCATGAGGCGGTGGAATCCAATACAGTGCCAAATTGAACAAAATTGGGGCATGACCTGAATTGCCTTGCGAGACAAAAGGGGCATTCCATAAGTATTGAACTTGTCTGGCTCGACCATCAGCAAGCTGTGATCGCGTGCATACATAGTCAATTCTGCTATGATTCTGCAAATGCACAAACGTTGGCCCCAATTTGCTGTTCCATGAGTTCAAAGCAACCAGTCCTCCATGTCTTAAAACCTGAAGAAGTCGTGAACTGTCAGGATGACATGTCCCGACGGCCTGCTGCTGGTTCCAGGTGTAGGAGTTGGGACCACTCACGCCAGCGGAAGTGGGCAGGGAGCAGTTAAAGTCTCCCATGAGTGCAACTGTGTTACGTCCAGGTAACATGGTCAGTTGGGTTTCCAGCGTCTGCCAGAATTTGTCCCTTTTCTGAAGTTGCTCCTTATCCTTCTTGTACACATGTTGGTAGCAGCCCAGGATGTCCAGATTTCTGGTGGCATTCATGACACGCACATGTACAAGCCGACCTGGGATGATCTCGTTCCAGCGCAAGTCATTGGCATGGCACAGCGATCTGGAGAGCAGGATCAGGACCCCCGACCCACGGTGATTGGGATCGGCACTGTGTATGTGATGCCAGGCATTGTCACTCCATGTGGACTGGAAGGACCATCGGGTCTCGGTCAAAACTGCTACTTGGACCTGTTGCAAACAAAGCCAGGTTTTGATTTCGTCCAACTTGGATGAGGCAAGTCCCCCACCGTTCCAGCTGAGGCACGTGAGGCGTTTTTTGGGTTTATTATGGCTATGGCAGCTCATAACATCTTTGGTTCTCGGAGCCTGTGCCAGTGCTTGCGTCGGCGGCATTCCCATCTTTGCAAAGTCAGCAAGGGTCAGGCACTTGCCACGGTACCAGGTCATTCCAAAACACTCTGCACGGCGCTGAGCACGAAGGAGACTTCGCTTGACAACTTTGGAGGCATGACGGAGGTTCAGCACCATTGGCGTGCTTATACGCACATTTCAGGCTGCGGTCCATGTGGCTTCACGTCAGGTAGGTTCTGCAAGATCTGGGTCCAATCTGGTGACGTTTCAGCATTCCCCATGGCAGGAATGCAACCCTCGCTCCTACCTACATCCATGATAGCAGTCTGGCAGGCAAGTCCAAGCCAAATGAGAAAAAGGATCGGATGTAGGTGCCTGGAATTGGGACCAGGCTTGCAGCTTTGAGAGATTGATTTATGGGGAGCACTCGGTCTGGTCAGAGCAAGCCGTATCTGTTTCCAAAGCTGGGTCCAAAAACCGTTCACACACTGACAGAGGAAGCTGTCCAGAAAAGAATGAGCTGTCTGTGCCAAAAATATAAATTGAAATGCCTGAAACAACTGCAATCTCAACTCAAGGGCCCAAGCAAATGCCAGCAGGAGAAGGAGTTGCAGAAGAGGTCCAATTGAATGAAAACCAAATTCAAATCTTTGTTCGTTGTCACCAGCGTTGCAGCGCCAATTCACTGTGTGCATGTAAATACCTCCAATTATACTGAAAATTGTATTGCAAAGGGCCAGTGAGTGAAAAAGGGGGCCCACCCCTGAAAGTTGTAAAACCAAAACCAATAGAGCACAGGCCAGTGAAAAACAAATGAGGGAGACCACCCCTGCTTCTGTAATAATGAGTCCGTTCCAGCAAGGCAGAGGCAATCGAAGAATGAGTGCGTCTTCAGCCACCCGCTCAGGTCGTATCGGCCAGTGGTCACTGAGTTGACCGCTGCTTCGCCCCGCTGGAAAACAATGATTGAGAAGTCTGTAAAACAGGGCCAGTGGAAAATGCAGGGAGCCCACCCCAAAAATTATAGAAATTATCCAATGCAATGGGTGCAACAACCAGGCCAGTTTGGACTTGCGCAGGGAGCCAACCCCTGAATATTGCCAATCGGTCAGGGTCAAGCAGTGGAGACGGGAGGCACTCCGTCCAAGAGCAAAAAATAACCAGCAGTACCACAATTGGCTTGCGACACCTGTACCCAAAAACAAGGCAGAGGTGATCAGTGAAAGAACCAAGATCCTGTCAAATAAATGAAAATGAAATTGTTGCGGTAAATGGTTCAAATTCTCTGGGCCAGTCTGAGAACGGGAGCCCACCCCACAGTGGATGCCGCCGCAAAAACAGTGTTCGTCAATGTAAGAATAAAATGATGAGAATGCTTCGTCACCACCTGTCAGGGATCTGTGTGATCGGTCCAGAAAAAATGTTGAAACACCTTGCCAAAGTGTGGAACTTTCAGTTAGGGAGTCCACCCCTTTCAGTTGATTATCGTATTGTTGATCCAATTGTCTGGTTGGCGGAAGTGCCACAGGGCCAGTCAGAGCACGGGAGCCCACCCCGCAGTGGGTGGCACTTCCTGATCGTGCGTCGAGGCAAGGAGATGTCGGCCAAGAAAAATTATTGTCCCCAAAACCAAGCGTCCAACCGCAGTGTTCCAGATCTTCTGGTGCACACGAATTCCAGCAAAAAACAATCACAAAGGTTGAAATGGGATGAATCAGCGCAGTCGTGTTGGCCAGAAAATGTTGCTCAGGATCACCGGAGCCCAGAATAAATCGTAAATGAATGGATCAGCAGCACAGCAACGAAGAATTGAAAGATGGCACAGGGTGAACGGATGGAAACAGGCTGCGGCGTCGCTCTTGACGCAATCGAGTGCGGCACTCGCGGCCGCAAAGGAGTGTGTGTGTGTGTGCGTGTGTGTGTGTGCGTGTGTGTGTGTGCGTGTGTGTGTGCGTGTGTGTGTGTGCGTGTGTGTGTGTGTGCGTGTGTGCGTGTGTGTGTGTGCGTGTGTGTGTGTGTGTTTTTGAGACCCCTTTGACTGCAAGTCAGAAGGCTGAGCCCTAACACATGTTTTTCATGTGGCCTTGGGATCCAGAGCAAGACGTCCATCTCTGGTCCGCAGGACTTATCAGACTAGCAACATACCCCTTAGGGTTATCTGGCACGTTCCCAAAAATTCCGTCCATTGTGGCCAGAACAGGATGATGCCTATTGGAGAAATATAAAATGAATTGGACCAAGAAAGAAGTGAGACCTATCCCGCCACTCAACTCTCAGTACTTCTCGTTCTGCAGCCAATGCAGTGGCTTCCGCAGCTCCGCAGCGCAGCGCAGGGCACGAAGTCTGCTCAGCAGCAAGGCATCAGTATGCCACAGGAAGCACAGCAGCGCCGAAGCCAATGCCGCTGCCGCCATCCGCGCATTTTTTTTTTTTTGGCCTTCTTGTTGGATGGGCATTCCGCCTCTTGGGCCTTTTTTTTTTTTTGGCCATCTTCTGGGGGCCTGGGTTCACGGGTACACTCCGGGTTGCGGAGGGCCTGAAAGAGGGCACTGGCAGGGGAGCCAGTGACATGGGTGATACAGCCGAAGTAGCGGGATGGGCATATCGATGTCGAAAGCGCTGGCTAAGCATGTGGCAAAGTGCCAAAGTGAAACCTATTCCCGTGCCAAAATGGCATCCTCAATTGAATCACCTGCTAGGCATTTGTGAGGGGTTGTGCAACACTCCCTGCATTCGATTGATCAAAATTGGAATTGTAGCTCAAAACTGTGGTGAGACGCTTGGCAACAATTCAAAATTGAGGAAATAGTGCTTCCATACAGGCATAGAAGAGAGCATCTATTCCTCAATGGTGCGTGTGCGTTTCGTGGGCGGCTCTGAGTCCTCTGGTGCAGCATCCACTGAGGTCCTTTCTGTACTCCTCGATCCCTCTGCAGCTTCTGAGGCTTCAGGAGCTGATGTCCCTGCACTAAGTCCAGCCGCCCGTGATGCTGATGTCCTCAAGGACGATGAAGCATGTAGGGGATCCTGATCCATTGTCCTGACAGCATGATGTGTGGGTTTGACAAGCCATAGTGTAGTGAGATTACACAAAATTGCATCGCTAAGAGTGTGTGTCACTTCAGGAAGTCTGTTGTCATCATAGATCATCCATGTGCCTCTGTATCTCAATGCAGTGCGATGATGTCCACTGTTTGGCCCAATTCCCATGTGATAAGTGAGCGCAGCGATTCTGAAAGGGACATACGAGATGGCGCCTGTTGCATCTGCAAAAACCGGAAAAAACAGCTGTGTGCTTGGTAGGATGATCTTCTGTTGGCATTTCCTGTTTTGTCCATCTACATGTCGATCAAATAGTAGAATGAGGCTGCTGCTCTCCTCGTCACTTGCTCGACAAAGACCTGAGGGATCATGCCATTGGTGGATCATGTCAACAAGATTGCATTGCTGATCCAAATAGTTGAAAAAACGAAGCAAAATCGGAGCATGAGTGGCACCCTTTTCACTGTCCAAATGTGGGTGTGACACCTTCGTGGTGTGCTGAAATCGAGTACACCAACTGCAGGACAGAAATTTCGGTCCCATTTCGGTCAATGATGAATGTGGTGAACTCCAGGATATCCTGTTGCTCTGATAGGTCATCGACCGTGAAAACCCGTAAGTTCAACGGAAGTGGATTCCATTGGCATAGTCCCCGCAAAAGTGCATAGCCTCTTGTCCACATAGATGATTTGACACACTGGCAAAGCATTGTCATCCAAGTCAGTGCTGTCATGGAGGCATTGACATAGCACATAGTGGCTGTGTCATTTTCTAAGACACGGACCAGAAATTTGATCCTTCCATCTACAGCATCTTGGCCAGTTGCTTGGTCAGAGCTGAGCGCTGTTGCGTCTGTGGCCTCAAAGTCAGCCTCACAAGTTGCCAGATGCTGTGAAATGACACGGTTCGCAAGAGGTTCCACAGCTCCCCTTGCGTGCGATGTCCCACAGTCCACAGGAACGGAATCGACTTCTGACTGGCTTCCTCCTGCTGGAGCTTGGTCAGAGAATGAAATCTGAGCGTGATCTCCGGCTCTGATTTGAGGATTTGGAGGATGTTCTGTATGATGTTGTTGACCTCTCCAATCGGAAGGGCTTTGTCCTTGCTGGGCACCAATTGTTGAGCCCCCGCATCCCATCTCAGGTACGGCATCTCTCGATTGGCATTGATGAGGTTGTACTTCACACAATCCTGGAACATCTCTTCCGTCACCTGTGCTTGTTGAAGCTTGTCGAGCCGCATCTTCAGCGTTTCCACCATCGTGATGGCCATCGTGTGCCGCAGGGTCTGACTGCGATCGCTGTCCTGCCACTGTCTGTGACAGCTGATCAGTGTGGGCAGCAAACTGCCTTCCCCTGGCTGGAGGTACAAGATGAACTCGAACTCCTGAAGCAGGACATTGATCGTGTCCTCCTGTCTCAGCATAATTTTGGCCATCACATGAACCATTGTTTTCAAGTTGGTGTCGGTGGAGGCTGTTGTAGATGGGCTGCGCTCCTTTCTGCGCGGACGTTTGTTTGGCTTGTCCTCCTCGTCTTTGATGCCGAGACTGCGGAGCTGTCCCGGGGTGAGCAAGTTGCTCCAGATCGAACTCGCCTTGTCCAGAGCGTCTCCCATTAGTTAGAAAAACTGCTAGGTTCAGCAGAGCAGGGCAAACAAAGTTTGGAGGATGTGAGTCTGAGCCGCAGTGTACACAGGGTTGGTGATATTGCTGCAATCGTCGCAAACACCACATTGTGTTGTACTGTTTGTAGTCATGCTGCAGCAGGTGATTCACCAATTTGCCAGGCAGAAACAAAAATTTGTGACAGAGTAAGCATTGATGCGCAACACAATCGCGTATGGTGGCATCTTGAAGCAACTGCAAGCCACATGAAATCAAGAGGTCAAATTCTTGTCCTGCTGTGTCTAGGTTCCTGGCGTTGAACATCAGCCTTTGGTGTTCCTGCCGTTGAAACGCCGACTCAATCGCCTGCGGTGTCGGCCACGAGACAGGGTCATACGGTGACTTGTATAGGACCGGATGCATCAAGAAGGCAGCCAGATGAAGAATCAGAGGGCAGCCAGGCAAGTGCATGTCCGGGACTGGATCAAAAGCAAGCACATCTAAGGTCGGCAGCAATTCACCGCAATGA